GGATATGCCTTTTGGTCGGAAGACGATGCATGGAGGGGATTGGAGCCATGGCAATGTAATGATATACGATGTAATGAATATGGAACTGAGGTTCTCTCATGTAAACTATCACATAACTCACAATAAAACATTAAAAAAAAAAAAAAAAGCCATTAGCAAACCAAACAAAAGCAAAGAGTGAGAGGACACAAATATAACTCAATGGCTGAATGATCAGAACTCGACTAGAGGAATAAAGAAGAGGAAAAAGAGTGTACTCCACTACATTTTGATGAAATTGACCTATACTATGGATGTAGTAGCTTAAAAGAGGGAACGAATCTTTAGTGTGAGAATCATTCCCACCACCTCTGTACACAGGGTTGATAGTGATGGTCAACTTAGATAGTGGCTACCCAAAATGGGGGGGGGGGGGGGGAAGGGACAACAAAGGCACTAAGTGATTGGCTTACATTTTTTTAATAAGAAGCTTAGTTTTAGAGGATGTGAGGGACCCACTGAGTGATTTCCAACCTGTCTAGATGGGACTGGTGAAAGGAGATGGGCATAAGACTCTTGCGGTTCAGTAGTGAATAATTGCTATCCGGACTGATTATGAATGTTGCAAATGTAAAGCTAGATGTTTTATAAAGGAAGGGAGTAGTTGATCTTGCAGCCTAGGTGCGGAGGACATTGAGACCATCAAGGGAGAAGAGCAGAGAGTGTTACCCTATCCAGAGTAAGCAGCAATGCCAGTAATGGAGGCAGAGATGATGATGTGTAGAGACAGAGAGGCTGGGGACTCTAGACTAAAGGAGGGAAAGGGGCTGTGTGCTGATAGCCAGGGTGCGGCATGAAGGGTATACCCTTTGTTTGTTTGAATGTTTATATATTCCTGACTGCTGTGGTGTACATTAAAAAAAAAAAAAAAGAGGGATTGGTTTACATGGCAAAGCATCAGCTTTACATTTGTCCCATCATATTTCATTTCATTGCAATGATTACAATCCCCTCTATGCATTATCAAACAACCAAAGGGTACACCACACAGGCCTGCATCCTGGTGACCTTCTTTGCTATTTTGTTTTGTTTATAAAATTAAATATAACTTACTCATTAACCTTTCCCTTCAAATATGCCTTTTGGAATTAGTTCTTAAATAAAACAAAGAGAAAAAAAAAAAGCAAATGGAGATACAAGGGAATCAATGAGATACAATTCATAAAGTATTAAAATATGCTGTTTCAAATTCAGAATAATTTAATATCTCTGTTATTTCATATGTATCTTGAAATGGGACAGATACATGTCCTGATACTGTTACAAGAGGTAGAATTACAGCATTTGGTACAATGTTCCAGGATAGAGTTAAAGTCACATTCCTGTTTCCCTTAAAACCGTTTCCATCGTCAAAGACAAAATATTTTCTTTTTATATGTTTCAACAGCAGCTTCGGATTATCACCTCTCAGAACAATCTTGTCCCAAAGGACAACTTGGTTCAGAATATTATATTTTTTCCCAATATTCTGCTGATAAACAATTACTTAACATTTCAATCATTATATTAAATGTAATGAATCCCAGATCACTTCTTTTTCTAGGTCCAGTGAACTCTTCAACATTTTTTAATATGATCCGCGAGATGTGCAGCTTTACTGGGACACTATGGTCTTTGAAAGCGGTTGTGATGAAGCAGTGAGTTCTCCAGCGACAGCATCGCTAAGGTCTCCCCTGAACTGTCTCTACATGCACAGTGGGCATTCAAGTCCCAGCTGCAACTGGCTCGGTGTAATCTTCTCTGCTGGCAGTGTGCATGTTCTAGCCAGTTTGCTTTATTCTTAATTTTTAAAAATTATACACCCAGAGACTTCATGTAAGCTCAGTCTGCTATTTAGAAATTGTTAGACTTAAAATCCATCAGGTATTGAGTTTCTTCCCCAGTGAAACACATTTGACAACTGTTATTGAAATGCATTTTACCAGGAAAAGGGAAACAGACAGCTTATGAATATCTTAACTAAGAGCACAGTTTAGAAAGTGCTAGTACTGGTGTGGTGCTGTAGCATAAGCACTAGACTGTGAACCACAAGGTTCAAATCCACCAGCTGCTCTTTGGAAACCCAAGGATCACTATGTGTCTGAACTGACTTATTGGCACTTAACAAGAACAAAGTATTATAGGGTAAATCAAAAGGCATCGCTATAAAATCATAGGAGGTTTAATTAAACAGAAACATTAAAAATGTGGCATTGTTGTTCTCAACATAGACTTCATCTGGGTCTATACACTTAGAAAATTGTGTTTCCATTTCTCTAACCCTTCCATATCATGTCTGATAAAGTGTAGAGTCAATAAAAAGAGCAAGACACCAAGGAGATAGATTGACATTTTGCTCAAACGTGAGGATGGCACATGACCAGTCAGTGGTTTGTTTGATTGTACAAAGGCTTCCTATGATTTGGAACCAAATCGATGGAACCTAACAATAACAGCAATAACCCTTCTCCAGATAATTCTGCACTCTTTGATTTACTGCATGTCTAAATGGCAATTTTTCCACTTCATGGGACTCAAAATTGTTCTTTTATAAGTTATTTGAAATTGGAGAACAAAAAGAAGACTGAAGATATAAGATTAGGACTGTAAATGGGATAAGGCTGCCCAATGAAATTCTCATAGGACAGCCCTTGTCATTTTCAAAGAAAAGCAGGTTTATAGTTGTGATGGAAAAAAAAAATTCCTTGGTACAACTGTCTTGGTCACCCCTCCTTCTTACTTTTGCAGCTTTAACTTTTCTTCAAAATATCACTATAGTAAACACCTGTGATATCCCATCCATGTCCTTTGAGAAAATGTATCAAGATTATTTCTTTAAAAATCCCCCCAAACAGTCCCCATAATCTCTGAGTTAATCTATCTTTTTTGATTTTCACTGGTCCAACAGTGTCCCGTGGAAGCCACTGATTCAATTTTTTTTTTTTAAGGTACCCTGGATTGGTGCAGAGGGTTAATGCACTGGACTGCAAGGCTGGTTTGAACTGCAAGGTCAGTGGTTCAAGCTCACCAGCCACTTCTTGGGAACCGTATACAGAATCAGCATGAGTCAGAACAGATTCAAAAGCACTTAACAACAAATCTGAAAACAGTGCAGCCAATCACTCATTGCAGAGAAATATTTAGCAGATTTTGTTTGGAAAATGAACTGAAACCTTAGTAGCAATACTTTTTGGCTTACCCTCGTTAATGAGGTCTTTGGTTATTCATTATCGTATTAGATAATGATCCTGGGTAGCTCCTGCAGCTTGCTTTTGGCTACTAACCAAAAGGTTGTTTATTTGAATCCATAAATCACACCACAGAAGACATTTCTGGTGATCTGCTTTTTAAAAAATTACACTAAAAAAAATCCAATGGAGCCCATCATACTATAACAGATAAACAAAGATTAAATCAATTTAAGGTCAATAGCTTTTCTTTATTGAAAATAGTATACCAGTTTCCAATGAACCAATTGAATATGTGAACCTTAGTCACCATAAACAGAGAATATGTTCCGGCTCAGTGACCCTTTATATGATTTCAAGAAGTGGCTGGTGAGTATGAACCTTGTGGTTCAAACTGACTTTGTAGTGGAGTGCATATCTTACAGTGCCACATCAGGACTCCCATAGAGCAGTGTTGTTGTTAAATGCTGTCAAGTCAATTCCGACACATAGTGACCCTATTCAGGGCTTTTGAGGAGTGGTTGGTGAGTTTAAACTGCTGGCCATGCAGTTCAAATCGACTTTGTGGTTGAGTGCTTATCATACAGCTTCAAAAAAGAAGTAAGCTTCTGTAAATATTAGTCTTGGAAACCTATGGAGCAGTTCTACTGTGTCCTTGTTGTTGTTGTTAAGTGCCGTAGAGTCGGTTCCGACCCATAGCGACCCTGTACAGGGTTTCCGAGGGTGTAAATCCTTACGGGAGTAGAAAGCCTCATCTTTCTCCCGCGGAGCGGCTGGTAGTTTCGAACCGCTGACCTTAAGGTTCGCAGCCCGATTCGTAACCACTACGCTACCACTGTGTCCTGTAAGGGTCATTATGAATCAACTCGACAACAGTTTTTTCTTTTATACTTGACTCCAGTTCCCACTAAAGTGTTGAGAAATTACCTGAGTGTTACTTGAAGATCTATACAGATTGTTTCATTTCAAACCTGCAAATTGCACGTTACCTTTTCCCTTTTGATAGTGCTCCCTTCCCTTTAATCTCATCCTGTTGGAAGAGGAGGAAAAAGGATACTGCTTTTTCTCCTCCACCAAACCCTAGCTCTCCAGTGCTCAACAGTCTGTGGTCACCACACACACACCTCTGCACCATGCACCCCCAGACTGTCTACTCCTTCTTTGTGGTTATATATAGAAGAAGTACAGGGCCACTAAGAGGATGTACTTATTCATTTGGTTCAGAGGTTGCTTGTACATGGTCTCCAGCAGCCTCCCTGGTAGCCCCATACTCAAATGTCCTAGAAGTGGAATTTCTGTCCTTGTATGAAAATGATGCAGCCAGGGCAAGAGTGTACATTTCTTAATGGCTAAGCTAAGAGTGGAGCGGTAGTACCAATCTCCTCAGCCTTCCTCAGGGAAAGAAGAAATTCCCAGATACACACCAATCATACTGTGTCCGTTCCGTGACAATGCATTCCTTTGCAGCTCCATAAAGTTCAAGGACAAGATCCTAGAGTGGAGTCATCATAGCTCCCTCCCCTCACTGTATTTATAAGCCCTGAATGATTTTATTTAGTTGTGATGACAGTATTTCGAAAAAATAAGGTTCTAACTAAGGACCCTGGGTGGAGATGGGTGTGTAGCACCAATGTCAACCTCCCTCTATGCCTTATCCTTTCTAAAAGCCAAAGGGCACTCAGAGTAGACACCAACTCCTCCCCTACACACCAGCATGCTACAGACAAAAGCCACAGACCTCTTTTGAGTAACAGCATTTGTATTAGGGAACAAGATATTGGCTCAAAGGAGCAGTTAGCACATAGGGAATGTACTAAAATGAGGATAAACAGATTTGCTTTGAATGGGAAAACTTTTCCTACAAGAAAAGGCCTGAGAAGCATTTTCTGGTTGATTATAGGAAAAATGGTTCTGATGGCAGAAGGTTGAGTGGTGAGGGCCTCCTGAGTCCATCATTGACTCTTGTTTGTGAGGATTGGTTGGGGACACAGGCTCACGGTCCCTAATGTTGAATCCCACCATTGTGTAGAGATTTCTATTCCCTTCATGGGTCATTTTGTGCCTGATTCTGGCCATCTGATTGACATGGTTTCTGTAGACTGTGTCACTTGTTTGTCCTCTGTGTTCTGGGGAAGAGTGAGATATTTGAGAGGACGGGTGCCCACCAACAAGGCTCATTCTTTCCGGCATTTTCTCTTTTGTCTGATTTAATTTGGAGACACAAGATTTTTCTTGAAGCCCAAGTTTCTCTACTAAGATATGACTGACAGCTGTCATAAGTGTCTGAGCCTCAGCAACACCGCTGTCCATAAGTATTGACTTGCTTTTGGCTGGCTTATGGTTGTACACAGAGTTTGAAGTGGGCTTTCCTTTATGCAAAGGATCATCATACTCTTTTTCTTTATGATTAGGGCAAATGCTTTGAACAAACTTACTTGTCTTCTTTATGTGAACTTCTGGAAGAGCACATTGTATCTCTGTTGAGATCTGGGAGGGCTTGATGCCAAGGGACTCTGCTGATCTCTTGTTCTGGGCACTAGTCTTCATAGGTAAGTGGCTCATCCTACTTTCTTGGGTGGTTCTCAGTCCTGGCAAACTTTTCTCATGTTCTTTTGCTTCTGGCCTTCTAAAATGCTTTCTCTCATCGGTGGGTGATGACCAATTTGATGTTGCCTTCTCTCCACAGCCTACCTGGAGATTTTGTCCTTGGAACACAGCCTCAGCTCTTGTCTGCAGAACTTTCACTGGGCATGTTTCTGAACCCTGGGACATACTATGTTTGGGGATTTCCCCCAGACTATTTTCCAGAACTTTCCCTAGCTGGAAATCCTCTGGGTTCCTCACATCACAGCTTTCTTGGTGACAGGATCTCATCTTCTTTACATCTGTTCTGCTGTCACCTATAAACACAGAAGGCCATGAGGGCCCATGTTGATCCTTTGCCTGACATGGTCCTGGTAATTTTCCCTGAAGCTGTGTAAGTTTTGGAGTCTCTAGGATCATGTTAGGCAGGCTCTCCTGGTGTTGAGTGGATGTCTTTTGAAAGTGTTGTTTCAGAAGTTTATGGAACTCAGTTCTGCTAGAATCCTGCCTAGGATGGATAGAGTCTGGTCTGTGAACCTCAGAGGCCCAGTTGTACTGGGGAAGTTCAGGGCTGAGAGGACTAGCTGCTTCTTTAGACCTTTTCATCACAGAGGGTAAAGTCTTCTTACTTTCCAGCTGCTTTCCCAACAAGGATGGTTCTGGACGTTGAATTTCAGTTACAAGAGATTGTGCCTCACTTTGGCCTATGGGACAAGATATTCCATAAGTCCCCATTTGGCTTGTAGAAGGTGGTGGTGGGATTGGCAAAGAGGATATGCGGTGGGCCTGGGTGAGGACTGGAGACAGAGGGAAGATCTGGGTTTGGGGCGTGGTTAGAATAAATCGTCGGGGCTGGGGCTCAGTGTGGGACAAGGGCTGGGGTGGAGATAACAGTGGGGATACTTGGACTGGACAGCCATTAGATATTCTGTTGAATAAAATAGGGGGAGATGGTGATGTGTAAGAGCTCCTAGAGACCCAGGCAGTGGTCTTCAGGGACTCACTGTGCAGAGAAGGAAGGCCATAGAAGAGCTGATTACATTTCTGGTGTAAATGACGGGGCAAAGTTTTGAAATATATAAGGTGCTGAAGTCTGGGCAGCTGCACTGGTTTGCTCCAGAAGGGTTGAGGCTCTGTAGCGGTCTGCTCATTACTAAATGATTTTAAAATCCCCAAAGAATTCAGGTGATAGTCTAAGTACTTTTGTTTTTTTAAATATTCATCCTTTTTCTTTTCTTTAAAATTTTTCACTTCCACTTTCTTTGAGATTTCTGCTTCTAAAAACTTCAGGACTTCAGGCTTAAGGAAAAAGGACCCCCTAATGACTGTCTTCCTCGTTGTTTGACCACTCCAGAAAGAGGCCTTTGATGGGTGGTGGGAAGCATGGTGTTGCTGGGATTCCTGGTGTTTACCAGAGGAGGGAAAGAGCAAGGCCTTGGAAGTCATCAAACAAGAAGGGGCTGGACTGGCATGTCCTGAGCAATCAAGGCCTGTTGTTACTGGTTTATAAGAGACAGAATAGTATGAACGTGAGTTTCCTGATGAATTCTCAGGGACAATCTTCCGTGAAGCTGAGTCCTCTGTCAGCCACCTAGAACAGTCCTTTATCTTGCACTCAGATGAATCCTTTGGAAGTTTTTCTGAAATGGGGGAGGCTCCATGGCGAGATGACTGGGTTTGAGGAACTCTGACAGCAGAGGTAGGGGGCACAATTAAAGTAGCACTTCCCTCTGGCTTTGAATGCTTCCCAGGATGGTCTTTATCAGGTGGTTTTTTACTCAGCCAACATTTCCTGCAGTGAAGCCTATGCTTGTTAGGAGACAGTTCCAGGTAGCTGGGGAAGAGAGACCAAGTTGTAACCAGGAGCAAACAGCCTGAATGAAGGGTCAGGCAGGTCCTGCAGTGGTGGGGTCCTAGGTCTCCAAGGCCCCTCTCCTTGCCAAGGCCCAAGTCATCCCTACCTACACCACCTCTGACTTCACAATGCTACTCTCCCCCTCCTCTAAGGGCTTCCTTCACAATCGCTCCCCTCAGCTATCCTCCATACCCTCCACAGGAGCCCTAGCTGCCCTGGGGCCCTAGGATCACTAGAAAACTTTGGAGGAAAATGGACACGGGAGAGAGGTGAAAGTTGACTTACCTTTCCAGAAGAGCAATCAAGAACTTAACCTCAAGCAGTTCTTTTAAAAAGCTATTGCAACCTAGAAATCAGACGGATGGGTTAAGTGGTGAAAGTCAGGGCCAAGGGACAATACAGGAAACTGAGTGGAATATCCCTTAGGGGATGCATTTGGAAGATAAGACGCTGAGATCCCAAAGTGACATGGTTGCTGACCTTCATGGCAAGGTTCACACATGTGAGGTGTAACTGACAACAGTTACAAAGCACTCCCACGCTCACTATCCTTGGTGATAATGTCACTGAGGAATCTGAGCCTTGGCAAATAATTGGACCTGAATATTCTACCTCCAATCCACTAGTTATCTATTCATTACATGCCACAGCTCAACCTAATTGGCAACATCACTGTGCTGCCCATCATGGTTTCATTCCATAGAAGGCTCAGCACAGAATCTAAGTATCTGGGCTCTGATTCCCTCCCAAGAGTCTTCCTGAAAGGAGACTAACACTCAGAAAAGTTAGGATTAATGTTTGGGAGCTCAATTGAGTGAGCAGAAGCTTACCTTTTAAAGATTCATTTTTGTGCCTCTTTCTGCTACTACTCCTTTTCTCCACTCGAGGCTGTGATAAAAGAAAATGGGGGATCGGGACCCAATTTTCTCTCTGTTCATTTGGACAAATTTCAGGCATATGATATTTATGAATAAAATAACTTTCTACATTTAGTTAATGGAATTTTGTTTTTGTCTTTTATTCATTTTTACTGTGGATAAAATCATTTTGCTCTTCTTTAAAAAACTCAATGGAGATTTTCATATTAAGATCTAGCATGGATTTCTTTAATCTCAAGAAGGGCACAGACTCTCAGAACTACAGATGCCCCTGTATGCTGTCCGATAAGATTTGGCTTCTGGAGGCCAGAGCTCCACTCCACTCCCTGAATGAGAGGCTCTCAGGCACTCAGCATCACTTTCCAGATTAGCCCAGATACAAATGGAGGACTTTGTCCAGAGACCTCCTGCCATAGGAAGATAAGCCAGTGAACCAGTGCAAAACCCTCCCTTCTTCCCACAGCTATCCCAAACTATTAGTAATCAAGTCCTCAGCCACTGTGGGAATTTGTACGGCTACTAGAAAGACAGATACTCTAAAATCTTCCGCTAGAAATATGTTGCCTACTCTAGCCCTTGCCCTGCCCACTTCTTCCTAGAAGGTTGAAGTTCTATTCTTTCCTGATTTGCCATCTCAGGAATTTTTCTACTTAATTTAGAAAAAGGAAATTGAAATAGAAAAAATGAATCAATTTCTGTTGAGTCTGGCTCAAGATCTCCTTACCTTCTTGTTGTTGATATTTTTCTTAGGTAAGGATGTATATACCAAGTAGAAAGGAAGTAACAGGAAGAACAGCAGCACTCCACATAGAATGGCAAAGATGATATTAATGGTCCATGAAGTGCAGCTGGTACTCAGCAATGGAGTACTAATACTATTCAGAGAAAGGAAGTAACTCTCCATTATCTGAAGTGTTGCTCTCAGGCAACTGAGCCCAATGAGCACTCACTGGCCTATATATATAAATCCAGGCCAGCATCATAGAGCTCTGGCTCATCACAAAAACATCCTAAGGGTGGGGGAGGGGACAGGACAACAAGAGGAGGTAGACGCATAGCTCAGCATATACTTCCCCCTTTGGGGCCTTGTAGGTCAAACTTTTTGTAACTTCCAACTCCACCTTCTCATCCTGTCGTAGTTAACATTCACGGCAATTTTCAATTCATTACATCGATAGCCCAGATATTACCTGGCCCCATTTAGGCTAGAGCTCCACCAACTTCAGAGCTATTATAATTTTGAAGTTTTTCCAGGAAAGTTCGCTATTTTACAGAGAGTTTTACACTCAGATTTTCCTTTTCCCAACTCCAGTTTTCCCTACATAAGTTTTGTTTTGTTTTTTTAATTTAAGGTTTTTATTGTGGATTGAGTGAAAGTTTACAGGGCACATCATCAGTTTCACATTCAACAATTCATATAACTTGTTTCAT